CTCGCCACACTTTGGCGCGCCGCCGTGGCGTACAGCCACACGCCAGCTTTCGAGCAGTTTGTTTTCACACGGATCGGTGTCACCCGGCATTAAGGGGTTAATCTCTCTCTCTCTCTCTCTCTCTCTCTCTCTCTCTCTCTCTCTCTCTCTCTCTCTCTCTCTCTCTCTCTCTCTCTCTCTCTCTCTCTCTCTCTCTCTCTCTCTCTCTCTCTCTCTCCTCCCCCCCCTCTCTCTCCTCCCCCCCCTCTCTCTCTCCTCCCCCCCCTCTCTCTCTCCCCCCCCCCTCTCTCTCTTTCTCTCTTGCTCTTCCCCTTCACATTCCCCTCATTCCAAAAATATTAGTTTCATTTATTTATTTTATTTCTAGCTTTGTATATTTGTTGACGTTGCAAATCCCCAAGAGCATAAAGTGTTGCTCTGTATTTATATCACTTTTTCATTCATATTGACCATTGACATCGACTTCCTTTGGCGCATTTCCTAGAATCTACCAACTAATTGCACAGCATACAGTATGTACAAATATTTTATTTGTTTATATAATGACATACAGAGATAGGATAGGATTAGTCTGATGCCAGTTACATTCTGTTGTTGTTGTTGTTTTACTGAATGCTTTAATATTGTTATATTTTTATAATAATTATTTTTCTCGTATTCATTATATCCATTGATAGGCCCGATGTTAAATATGGTACTCAATCATACAAATAGGATAGTGTATAAATATTACGAAAGGATGAGATTAATCAGATATGTCTGAACCTGATAAGATTAGATTTTTTTCACAAATAGTTATGGGGGATTGGTTTGATGATACCACTTGTTGGCATTATCCTTTGGCTTAGATGCTAACAAGAAAGATACTGGAGCAGAGGAAGGCATTTTAGTGAATGTGTTAATGGCAGTAACTTGTATTAAAGAGACATGTTCTATATTGATAACTCCACCCCCCCCCCCCCCCCACTTTGTTGTCAAGAACTTACAAGAAAAATAATGTAAAGGAAATTGCAACAAACAGCCCTAAATCAAATTGCTGATCATCAGTTTTCATTCACATTCTTATCATATGACCTAAAAATGTTTTCAATGTTGGTGTCTCGGGTTTAGTTGCTTTCTGTTTATGCAATTAGACTAGCAGTTGTAATACAATATTTGTAACTATAAGCTTAGTCATTTGTTGTTATTGTTTTTTTTTTTTCCAGATCTTTTATCTTTGTTTTTTCTTTTTTTTATTTTTTCTTTTTTCTGATTCTTATGAGGCTGCATTCATGTTATGAAGATTTACAGGGTTTAGGGGCCTACATTTCATTCACATACCCCACTAACTTGTACAAGATCATTTACATTATACAGTGTTATTTTTCAGTGTCATTTTAGTCCCAAGTAAAATCTGTATCTATTGCCTAAGTGTCACATGTGGCCAACTTTATTATTGATGTTATGGTCAGTGTGTGGTATGGTATGTGGTGCAGTGTGTGTATTGATTGGGTATGATGCCATGCTAGGGTGTGGGTCTGATTTCAGTTATGTTAGGCAGTTTCTTGTTTCTCTTGTCATGGCTGCCGGAGTGTGAGAGAGAGAGAGAGTGAGTGAGTGAGTGTGTGTGTGTGTGTGTGTGTGCATGTGCATGTGTGTGGATGTGAGTGAGTGAGATAGTGAGTTTGTTTATAGGCTTAGTTTAAGGTTGTTAGAGATAGTCAGTTTTTACTCTGGTGTTTTCTTTTTTGCATATTTTTTGAGGAATTCTTGTGGAGTGGTTATCTTATACATATCTTTGAGGTATCTGATGCATAAGTTTGTAATTGTTATTATTTTTTAAGTTGTTATCATTGTTTTGGTAATATGAACATTATCAGTGTTGTTATTAAAACTAGAGAAATATTTCAGAACTGACTTTGCTTTGGTTAAAACTACAGTGGTAGCCTGAAGTCTTGTATAATGTTCTTTTAACATCATGGGGAAAGAAAATAACTACACACATGTATAGACACATGTGTCAGTAAAAATATTTATAGGTATATATTGGATAGTTATTGAATTTGTTATATCTTTTTCAGCAATAGTAAAAGTAAAATATGCAACTAGGAATTTTATTTTATTAATTTCATTTTTAATCTGAGTATAAATGCCAGACTTTAAGTGTATTTATATATGCATCTAGCACAAAAAGGAAGCATAGGGGAGTGAACACAAGAGAAAACATGAAGGTGTGTGTGTGCAGGTGTCTCCTTCTCGCCACACTCCCACTCCCATCCGCACACCTGTGGCATTGGGGGAGCACAGGTGTTCGGCCACAGAGCGGTTCTTGCAGTGACTCAGTTTTGAGGATTTGAGTTCTATATTTATTATTGGGATTTTTGTTTCATTATCGTATGGTTTACTGGTCTTGTTGTGGCTATTCTTGGTTTGTGTTTCTCCTGGAACTTTTTTGAAGATCAAGGAGGAAATTGGAATTTGTTTTATATATATGTGAGGTTTTATTCTATTCTTTTTTATT